ACTAGAGATTTTTGTTAACGTAGGATGTGAACTTGAATTTTTCAATTTAATATGAAATCTATCAGTGTTTCATTACAACCCTCTCTTTGTACTATATTTTGCCGTAACCTTTCCAAAAAGAGAACCTTTTCATTCGTGCCAATCAAGTGTCACTCGGCGACCTCCTGACAAAACGATAAGTAAATGAATTCCGGTATCTTGAACCTGAACCTGATCGTAACGTAAAATTGGTGGAGTAATGACTCCGATTCTCCAACTTTAAAATATATGAGACGATAAGAAACGTCTCTCTTTTCTTTTTATTTTTTAACATATACAATGGACGGCTACGACTTTAACATATTATACGGTCAACATCAACACTACGGCTGCGACTCAGTCGTGAGACAACGCGAGAAGCCACGAGTTGTACAACGATAATAACGCACTTCATCAGAAGATTTAAGTTCGAGTTCTACACCAAGAATTATCATCAGTACGATACGGTCACTATTTTCATCAGAAGAAGCGGTACGGTCACAGTCATCTCGACCGCAGTACGACAACGGAGTTGGAGTATTTTCATCGACTATGAAGACGAGCACCACTATTCCGAAGTACGGTCATCATAAACGCTACGGTTAGACCGGCCGCGAGACATCACTATAGCGCGAGAAATACTGCCATGAAGAAAGAGCAACTGTGAAGAGAGACGAGCGGTACAGCTGCAGTACGGCCACTTAAAATACGGTGACAACCGCGGTACGGTCGCTGAACACACGACCGTGAACGGGTGCGCGAGTTACGGTCGTTTCCAACTGTCATACGCATTGGAACTGCAACGGATCACACGCTTTTTCCGGTAATATTAGATGATTTAATAATGTTAACTGATAGGCTTTGGACTTTTGATTGTGTCGGATTACATTTTTTCAAGTACTAGAGATTTTTGTTAACGTAGGATGTGAACTTGAATTTTTCAATTTAATATGAAATCTATCAGTGTTTCATTACAACCCTCTCTTTGTACTATATTTTGCCGCAACCTTTCCAAAAAGAGAACCTTTTCATTCGTGCCAATCAAGTGTCACTCGGCGACCTCCTGACAAAACGATAAGTAAATGAATTCCGGTATCTTGAACCTGAACCTGATCGTAACGTAAAATTGGTGGAGTAATGACTCCGATTCTCCAACTTTAAAATATATGAGACGATAAGAAACGTCTCTCTTTTCTTTTTATTTTTTTCCTATTTAATCATGGTGTCAGGATTGTGGGGTTTGGAAGGTTTTGGGGCAAAGTATATTGAGAGGTTTGATTGATAGAATAAATTCCGTTTTTAATGCTGACATTTTTAATTCTGTGTAAATATATTTTAGCCACTGTGTAAAATTTAGGACGCTTAAAATTATGCCAGAAATTGTTTGAGAAGAACTTGTTCTTTCTCATGCAATAGTGATGGCAACCAAAACCATTACATTTGCGATGTATCTAAAAAAATTATTGACCGTATAGTGAGTGCAGTGAGTCTGATTCTATGCGAGTGTTCTCATAAATTTTCGAAGTGTAAGATTAATTCGACATAATTTGTAGAGATAATGCTTAGCTTATTAAAGAAGAATTTAGAGATTAAGGTGATCAAGCGGGCAGAATTTTTTTTACTTGTGTAGTGATTTCTAGTGATTCATCTAAACTTTTTTTTTGCTTTTATTTTTATCTCGCATTTTGTGGCAAGTATCGAAGGTAGAATGATTATTAATAGTATCAATTTTGCACACGAATGCGCAAACGGTATAGTTTCACGTTCAGAAAATTATTGTTTGTCTGTGATTTCAATTTTTTTTTGCTAGTTGTTGAAATTATATTCGCGTTGTGATTTTTTTTATGTGGGCAAACGGACATTTTTATCAAATATATATTTTCTAATATTTTTTTGCTGAGAAGAAATTTGTGCGGATCGATTTTATGCACATGTTTTTAATAAGCGTTTATAACTCAATGCCACATGATTGAAACTTTTCAGGAATTGAATTTCAGTAGGAAATTTTTATGCCCAGTATTTTGACTTGTAGTTAAGTGTTGAAGTTGTCGCGTTCATTTTAACTTAGAATTACGCTAGACTACCGAGCGATTGATGACGATGTACGAATGTGATTGAGTCCATTGTTTACAAGAATTTAATTGCGTACGAATTTGGTTGATAAATAACTATAGTAATGAGTTTAATGAGCGAGAACGAGTTCGGGTATCAATAGCGTGAGATATAACTATTATAGGATGTGTGAGTACAGTGTGACGTACGAAGATTTCGAATAGGGTGCTGCCGCTCTGAAGGCAAGGTTATTACGAGCGAGTCATAAAAACTTACGTTGATTTGAGAGGTAATAGAAACGATAGATTCTATTGAGATATTAACGACCGAGGTGAGGATCTTATTTTGCTGCATAGGATGATGAATTACGAGAAGTTTGTTGAATAGTTCTGCGAGAACTCAATTATAAGGAAATGTTTAAGGAAATGATTCAGGCATGTCAGGAAGGGAACTCGTTCTGCCAGGGTGGCAGAGATTTTTGAAATGATGAGACGCCGTTGAAAGGGCTGAGATTTGATATGATAATGCGCGGTTGATAGGCGCGACGATTTTTGATCGAGTGATGGCTCTAGAAAATGCACACTGATCAAGCTGGGGAAATGTTGTAGGTATGGATAGGTTTTTATTTTTTCTTTGTTTTTAGTTCGCCAACCTGCCTGTCTGAATTCTCAAACAAGAGATACGCAGGAGACATTGTTCTCGCTGCAACCCGTAAATGTTGAAACTCACGTAGTGCTTTAGTTCTGCGATAAATGAGTTGTAAAATCCGGTGTTCGGATCGAGTAACATGATTTAATAAAGTAAAAGGTGATGAAGATGTAAAAATTGAATAGGGAATGATATTAATGTGTATGAGTTGTATGGACGATTCTTCTCTGTGCGAAGACTATTTGATAGAAATGTAACGTTGTCGTGTCATGAGTTGATATGAATAATTCTAATTTTAGGTGAATATTATGTAGGATGTTCATTTTTCATGTGTTTACGAAGGAATTTAGGGACCGTGAGATATTAGGCTAACGATTTGTATGTTGGAATAATGATGGTTTACTGAGAATGTCGAGAAATGATTCATGTGTACGAGTGGTGGTCACGAATAATTTAATTTTGTCAATTTATTGTAATGTAAGTGTTCGCTTTTAACATTAACAAATATCACTAGAAAAAAAGTCTCGAGCCTTTTTTTAGGGAAGTTGAATGGAAATGATTAGAGCGTCGGTAATTCTGACTCAAAATTATATTATATTTTATAGAACGCAGTCTGTGGGTGAATTAATTCGTAAATTGAGTTATGAAAGTTAGAGACTTAGAGTAAAGTGTTGAGAAGGCTACAGGAATTTGGGGTGGAACTGTGTAAAGCTTGTATAAGGTGCTGTTGTTCTCGAGACCGTGAGAGCGAGGGTTGTTTATAGTTTGAAACGGCGAGGGTATCAAACTCACAACCTTGTGTAACTCAAAACCGTCGCGGCGTCACTTCGAGGGAATAGGCTTAACTGTGGGCGACGGCTCCCTATATAAGGACCTCAAAATTGGCGCCAAGGGTTGTTGGTTCTCAGGAGGTGACAGTCGCGCACGTACGGTCTGCAGTTAGCGGACGTAACGATTGCGGCCGTGAGGCCGGCGGTGTTACCGTTTCCGAACATTGACGGCTGACGGTCGCGAGAAACCCAGACTTATCGAAGCAGCCAAGAGTCCGGTGAGCACGTCAAGATAATCAACATCAACACTACGTCTGCGACTCAGCCGGGAGACAACGCGAGAGAGCCACGAGTTGTACAACGATTATAACGCACGTCATCAGAAGATCTAAGTTCCGAGCTCTACACCAAGAATTATCGTCGGTATATACTATTCAAGATCAAGAATTATCAATATCATCAAGAATTATCAATAGTACGGTCACTATTTTCTTCAGAAGAAGCGGTACGGTCACAGTCATCTCGACCGCAGTACGACAACGGAGTTGGAGTATTTCTATCGATTATGAAGACGAGCACCACTATTCCGAAGTACGGTCATCATAAACTCTACGGTTAGACCGGCCGCGAGATATCACTATAGCGCGAGAAATACGGCCATGAAGAAAGAGCAACTGCGAAAGCGGACGCGAGAATACAGCAACGGTACGGCCGCTCAACCTATGGCCGCAAAGTGCGCGTGTTCAATACGGTCGTTTACAACGGTCGTACGGCTTAACTGAACTGCAATTTATCAACGGTCTGGTAAATAGAGAGATTTTTAACGATTTTAACTGATAGGCTTTGGACTTTTGATTGTGTCGGATTACATTTTTCAAGTACTAGAGATTTTTGTTAACGTAGGATGTGAACTTGAATTTCCCAATTTAATGTGAAATGTACCAGTGTTTCATTAGAACCCTCTCTTTGTACTATATTTTACCGTAACCTTTCCAAAAAGAGAACCTTTTCATACGTGCCAATCAAGTGCCACTCGGCGACCTCCTGACAAAGCGATAAGTAATTAATTCCGGTATCTTGAACCTGAACCTGATCGTAACGTAAAATTGGGGGAGTAATGACTCCGATTCTCCAACTTTAAAATATATGAGACGATAAGAAACGTCTCTCTTTTCTTTTTATTTTTTCCTATTTAATCAATCGAGAGGACATTATGATTTTTTAAATTTGCTGCTTCTAATCTTATAAACTCGTAGGAAGAAAGTATGGATTAAATTAAATGGTTGAGTTGGAATGCTCAATAAAATTGTTCGGTAAAAAATGTGTTCGTAAAAAGTTGAGACTAACTATTACTGAAGTGCTTAGCAAGCGCATGCTCCTGGAAGCCGTCGACTGAAGCTCGCGAAATACATTACTTATTTCTATATGTAATATATTTTGTGAATATTATATATGTTCTTCTTCTATGGTATACATATCAATCCTATATACATCCTAATCGACAATTTTTTCAGCAACCATTATCATCATCGTTATCGTATTACCCGTTGCAATAAACCCATAATTGGAATCTGCCGCCATGAAGAAGCTTCAAGTTCGCGTCTTTGCCCTCGGCATCATGGCTACGGTGAGTTCGATATCAAGTTACTCTTCGTTTTTCACGGAGAGGAGAGAAAAGTTCCGCTATAGGTAATCTAAATACTTGTGTTTCCATTCTTCTTACAAATCTGCCCCTCGCAAACTTGAAAGCAACTGAGTCAATCATGATCAAGGTTAGAACCGCCGCACTGTCGAGAATACAGCCAAGGTGGAGTGACCTGTCTTGGCTGCGGTCATTGTGATACAGTATTATTTGAGGCTCAACTTCAATCGATAAATTTTTCAAATTTAATCAGCGACGAATGCGTTTTTCCATATTAGTTTTTACGGAAAATATTTGTTCGGTTGATTTCAGTCCATTGCTGAATGATCTAGCAAACAGATTGCTAATTTGCAAAATAATTAATATTTAGTAATTTGTGAAAATAATTTCGAAAGTTCACCATCGAAAGATCATACAAAGCTAAATCATATAAATACCAGTAATGTTCTCCAACAGCACATATTAGTTTTTTGGACACTGCACCTATATTATCTGTTCTCATCCCGTCACTCGTGTTCTAATATTGAAAAATTATTCTCTAATACGGTCGAGACGGAAAATACCAAAATAGAAATTTGCCGTGGAGGAGATATGGGTGGAGCATGGTCCCTTGTGTTGTTATTTGTATAGATTTGTATAGAGGTATAGGTGGGGGACCATGTGCGTGTAAATTGAAGCTTTTGAATAACCAGTCCTGCCTTGCTTTGTCGTTTGGGAGTAATGCGAGTTGATTGAGGAATTTGGATCATATGTTTAAAGGGTGGAACCAGTTTTGCGTGTTTGTTGGTGACGGACTGTGTTTATTGTAAGAATGTCGCATTGTTCGCGGAGTATTTGGGAGGATGTGAAGTCGGACCAGTGTGCGTGTGAAATATCGGAGAGCATTGTTTTGTACTGTCTGCAGCTTGGATATGGATTATTTTGATTGGGGTGTATCGGTATCGGGAGTTAAATGAGGGATGATCTGAGAAAGGATCGAGAGGCATAACGTGCGCTTTATGTTGGGTGGGAGGTAGTAAAATCATTGGATTTTGTGCGGATTGGTGAACAACATTCTTCTCTTTTTGGTATTTGAGAGCTGAAGCCGGGTATTGTGAATTGTAAACCTAAAACTGTTCCATTGTTCGCATATGGATAGTCAGTGTTGTCTGTGAAGATGTTGGAAGTGTTTCGCCTATAATGATGGGGATGTTTTTAATTTTATTTGTGTTTTCCCTAACGAGCCATTTATTTTAAAGGATGTGGATCTGTTGTATGGCGTATTGTGTTTGCATGATTAGAGAATGGCGTCCTACTTCTACTTTATTTCTAACTTTTCTTTTAGTCTTGATGTAGTGATTTCAACCGAAAACTATACTTATCGATATAAGGGGTTGCGTCGACAGTATTTATAGCTATTTCAAGACAACTAGTTATTTCGACACCTGTATTGATCTCATCAAACGTATGGAACTCTCGATAGAGTTTTTAAATAAACATTTTTAAAAACTGTCAGGTTTCTAGCACGAGGGTCGGCGCGTTGAAAAGGTTCTCACGCTGGCAGTTAGGCGACGAATTGACAAGGGAAAAGATACAAATAAGCATGTCAACTCTTATATAATTAAAGTGGTAAATCCTACTCTAGTACAGGACTNTCGATAAGTATAGTTTTCGGTTGAAATCACTACATCAAGACTAAAAGAAAAGTTAGAAATAAAGTAGAAGTAGGACGCCATTCTCTAATCATGCACTGCTGCATGGTTGTGAGGGTAATGCCCTGTGGTTATTTGTGTTTTGCCATCAGCAAGAGCTATGTAGTCTGTGTTGGGCATCATGGTGGGAGGTCGTGGTTGTTGAAGCTGTATATAGTGTGGGGGTGAGACAAGCCTCTTGGGGGGCACCTGTGTGAAGTTATAACGGAGGACCTATGTGATTACCTATTCTTATTATGGATACTGTTCTGTCTATATGGTAGACTGAGAATGTTTTAGTGAAGGACGTATAGAGGTTGACTTGAGTGATCTTTTATTGGAGTCAGGTGTGCCAAACCTTGCTTGTCAAAGGCTTTGGTCACATCACGAAGTACTATGTCAGTGATGTCTTGTCCTGCTAACTGTATGGCTAGTGTCTCGTGGAATTTGGATAGTGCTGTGTGTGTCCCTCTAGGTTTCCTAAAACTGTGTTGACTTGTGTAACGCACGTTGTGAATTACTATGGGTTTGTATAATCTATTGTTGAATATTTCGTCTAAAAGCTTCCCGTTGATGTCTATTAGTGAGATGGGTCTGTAAATTTGGACTTGGTGTTGCAGTGCGTTGGGTTTGGGGTGGAAAATTATTAAGGCGTGTTTTAGTGACTTCGGGAAACAACCGACGGAAATGGCACGATTGAATATGTACGTATATTAGATAGTGGATCATATTTCTGGGTAGGTGTTTGAGTGTTGTGATGCCTGTGGGACCAAGTACTTTCTGTTTGATTGTTCTTAGTGTGCGTAGTAATTCTCTAGCTAATGGTAATAGGTGGGAAGTCCCCAGGATGGAGCCGCGGGAGGTCGTCGTTATTATATATGGGTGAATAGGTGTACGTTGTTGCTGGCGTGGTCTTGTATGGTGTGGATGTGTTCTATGTCAAAATCTTCATTGTCTGTGTCATCAAGAGTTAATATATCCTGCCAGTTTTTGCGGAACATGGGTTCTCTTTGTTCGGGTGTGTCATGTTGTATGTTATTTTTGAGGTGCGGAACGCTCCAACACCAACAGCTTGGTGTTGGAGCGTTTTAAGGATGACCAAAATGTTGGTGATCTTTTGTGTTTCTTATGTGCTAATGAGGTTCTACCATGTCTGGGTTTGGATCCGTCTGTATGCTGTGGGTAGTTATTGACGTATGATGATGATTTGTCTGTTGAATTCTAGCGATGGACCGTGGGTGTGAATGTATTGGAGAGTGGCTTGGTATTGTGTGAATGAGTAATGTTTCGTGGGTGTGTCCGGTGCCGGAAATAATGCGGTGTGTCATGGTAGGGATTGAGGTATCGGTGACATTCTGTATGTTTTTTGTCCACTTGTTTATTATTTTGTCTTTTTTATTTTGTCTTATTATTTTGTCTATTATTTACGTATTTTATTTGTCCAATTTTGTCTATTTATTCTAGTGTAGGGTCAGGTTATGTGGAGACTGTGTTCAGTTTGTGTCCAGTTTGCTCTAAGGAAGGATCTATGAAGAAGCATGGGTATTTGTATGAGATTTGCAGATATAGGTGCTATTATGGAATGTGGTCTGATAGTGTGATGGTGCGGGCTTCATGTGTATGTTGTGGAACGCTTTATTGTTGTATAGTACTCAGTCTGGTGATGTTGTACTGTTGTGGGTGATGAAGGTTAGAAAGTAAGGGCCGATGTGATACATTTGCGTTGACATATTAGTGACTGTACTTGTCTTCCTATGTGGTTGGAGGAACTCTTTTCTTAATGTTGTGTGTCTTGCGTGTGTTTCTGCGAGGAGGTATACGGGATGAGGCTTATTTAAAAGGGAATGGAAGTCAATGTTGATGTAGTCTATGCGGGGGGGATTGCATGTAGTTTCTATCGTGCTGGGCCCTTGTTGGTTATCTATTGTGATTGCGAGCTTTTCTGTGTGGAAGTTATCGTGCAGTTTGTGTGGGATACGGCCTTTTACTGCTCTGGCAGAACCGCGGAGTGAATTGTGTTATCTCTTTTGCAGCTATGGACGTTGTTATTAATTTTTTAATAAAGTGTTGTTGTAGGTGATAGAGTGATCGTTAATAAGAATGATGCCAGGATCAATGTCATTGAAAATATTTGAAAATGTAAATTTCTTATTATGCCAGTGTTGGACATTGTATCAGTATTGAGGGGTCATGATGGGTTGGATGTTTAAATGTGGATTGTTTCAGCTTTTTGGCGGTGATTGTTTTTTTATGGTAGTGTATCTATCCATGGTAACGAAGGTGTTGTTAGGTATGATGTTGACTGTGGGCTTGTAGAATTTAAATTCGTCTCGTCTCAAATGTCGATAATTTTAGAGGAGCCTGGGTCTTTCACAGAGAGCTTCTGTTCGAATTCGTTCTTTTACATTCGTTAAAGAACCAGCTGTTGCGTAACGTCAGGTATTGGGTTGGGGTCTCTGCTGCGTCTAGATAGTCTAACAGCTATTAATTCGCCTTCTCCTGGCAGTTAAATTGGTGATTCTCCGCACTGTTTGTCACTAATTCTTCGTTTTCTGGGATCGCGTTCTTCGAAATGGATTTTTGGCGGGAGGCACGTCCTGAGAGATCTCTTGGCCTCTCTGGCAAGTTTAGTGAGTCAATATGTCATTATCGTCAATAAATTCCGTTTGAAGGTTGTCTGTGTCAAGAGTCTTGGTTTCGGGTTGGTTATAAAAAAAGTTCAATATTTTGGCTGAGTCTCTGCCGGGAAAAGTCGCGTCCATATCGTAGTTAGTCTTCAATTATTTGGTTAGTATGCTACCGAACCCCTCTTTTCGGGAGAGGCTCGCGATATTGGCATGCGGTCAGTTTGAGTTGCGTCTTGTCTGTCAATGTAAGGTTGTGTTGTGGAATGTTTGTTTCTTTTAATTACTTGTTTGGCTATGTTGGGATATGTTTGGTTGGTTTTGTGTTTTATAGTTTTTTTGTTGGGATTGTTGTTCATTTTGTATTTTTTCCTCGTGGTTTGGACAGTTGGCGGCTTGTGCTGTGGTCGTTGTGGCCGTTGAGACATTTCTCGCAGGTGTTTGAGAATTTGGGTAGGTAGGTGTTTGAGAATCCCGCCACATTCGCGTGGCGGGAGTTATGGAGGCTTTTTTTGAGGTATCGTGGACTCCCACGTTCACGTGGCGGGAGTTTTGAAGGCTTGTATTATTGTTACATTTATTTTCCGGGCCAGCATAGTTTATTTTCCGTTCACAAAGACTAATTCTCATCACTATGGATTCAATATTTTTTCACTCTTTTTCTCAGACGGGGGCCAATTTAGATACTCATGAGAATTTATTTATACTTTTTTCTGGAATGCTCTTAAGAATTGTGAAACGCCGGCCATTTGTGAGAAATTAAAATCTCAAACAACTTCGTCTGAAAAAAAGTCTTTAAGCTCTAGAGGTTTGTCCAGTGCCGTTTATGTACATAGACTGTTTGACATTCCTGTCAAAATTTGCTCAGTCCAACGAGGTGTCTGTCCGTAAGCTCGGCTCCAGTAGCAGTCGGCTCGGCTGGAGCAGCAGTCAGTTCAGCTCTAGCAGTGGTCAGTTCGCTTTAGCAGTAGTCAGTTCGGCTCTGGCAACATTCAGTTCGGCTCTAGCAGCAGTCAGCTCGGCTCTTGCATCACTTAGCTTGGCTCCAGCTGGAGTTAACTCGGCTCCAGAAGCAGTCAGCTCGACTGTAGCATCAGTTAGTTAGCTCGGCTCTATCGACAGTCAGCTGGGCTCCAGCAGCAGTCAGCTCGGCTCCAGCAGTAGTCAGTTCGCTTTAGCAGTAGTCAGTTCGGCTCTAGCAACATTCAGTTCGGCTCTAGCAGCAGTCAGCTTAGCTCTAGCAGCAGTCAGCCTAGTCCTAGGAGCAGCCAGCTTAGTCCTAGGAGCAGTCAGTTTAGCTCAAGCAGAAGTCTATTCGGCCTAGCAGCAGTCAGTTCAGGTCTGGCAGCAGTTAGCTCGGCTTCAGCAGATGTCACCTCGGCTCTAGCAGATGTCAGCTCGACTCTAGCAGATGTTAGCTCGACTCTGGCAGCAGTCATCTCGGCTCTGTCAGCAGTCAGCTTGGCTCCAACAGCAGTCTTCACCGGTCCAGCAGCAGTCAGCTCGGCCCGAGCAGATGTCAGTTCGGCTTTAGCAGCAGTCAGCTCGGCTCAAGCAGCAGTCTTCTCAGCTATAGCAGCAGTCATCTCGGCTCTAGCAGATGTCAGCTCGGCTCTCTCTTCCCATCAGTCTGTGCGGAATACTGAACCAAATGTTACTGTTTATCCAACCGAGATCTCAATTCTCAGCCACAACTATATATGTATGTATATGTCACCAATCCCTGCCTCGCATGTTAACTCTCAATCTCGATCTTTTTTCGCCTCATCCGTTGGAACTTGGAAGGTCGATCCCTCTCGGTATTGGCAGACTCCCCATTTTACGGTGCTTTTACCGAAGCAGCTCCGTTCCTAACATAATTACTGTGGTCCATAGGCTTGAATCCATTGTGCTTGCCAAGTCAGGTCCAATAATTACCATGACCGTCGTCAAGTTGTCCTCTTTGTAGTGCCGCTGATTTTTCACCTAATTCACATAGTCACTGCATAGTGGGGCAGCTGTAAGGGAATTGTGCTGCTCGCGAAACTAACTCTCATCCGACGCCCACCGCGGATAATCGCAGTGGTAATGATAATGAACTCGTTGTTCGTAACTATGCTTACCGCCTACCGCCGGCAAAATAGGCTGCGTAATTTGGTGGCTGAAATTTTACTATGTATATAATTTGAGACTGACACAAACTCGTCATCCCCTCATCTGATGAAAAACCAAAAGCTTTTGTTTGTGGAAGATTTCTGGTCTTGCTGGTTGTGAAAACTTCGCTTAGAGAATTCTAGAAAATATTGCTGAATCAAGGTGAATTATTTGCAAATTTGAACCAGTTTCAGAGGTTAATTAATATTTATAGTGAACTTAATATTCACCATTTCATTCACAACATGGGCTCCCTTCACGTGAGGTGGCAAGTTTTTTAGGTCTCGGAAAAACCAAAAATATCAAGTGTAGAGGAATGCACACACCTTCTCATCGCGCGATTATATTCCTGAAATTTGCTGGTGACGAAAATATTATAGAGGCCGTGCTGTCTTCATAAGATCCCTACTAAAAATAGCAAACAAGAGACTAGTCTTGATCAGCGATAGTAACATTAAGATGGTCTGCATGGGAACCTGAGTCTCATTTCATCAATAATATTCACTTATTGCAGTTATAAATTTCGTTTTTCATTGAAGTAAATAAGACATCATGCGAGCGCTTTGAGTCCTCCTGCTCCAGCAGGGGTTAGTCATAGCGAGCAATGGTTATCAAAAACTTAAGAACTTTTATTATTTATCTCGAAAATATAATTCCTGTCCTCAAATTGCATTTTAATTAGGGCTGATTGTTGACTATGGATTTGATTGGGTTGGGATGATTTGATAACGAGATTCTCAAAGCACAATGATAATTATCTACCAGGATCATCTCTGGTGTTTATGAAAAACAATGGGCATGAGAGGCCAGAATTATGAATGCGAAACAAGGTCGACAAGTTAATTTTTATTCTTCATTATATATCCAATATCCGTGTTTTGTTATCGCTTGCAATGCAACAGCCCGTGTTGATTTTTTTCATTGCAATTGTGCGCAAACGAGCCTGCCTCTTTGGTGCCAGTCTTGCCAGCTGCTAACCAATACAGTACGGCTTCTCAAAAAGAGGTTGAGTGATCTTGGACACATTTGCATGAGCTTTACATCGATTTTCACCTTAAATATGTTACTTATATCCATGTTGTTTGATGAGCTTCTGCAGCTGTATACTCACTAATTAGCAGCTTTACAATAACCACAAAATGTATCCACGTCGAAGAGTATCTGTCCACCAAAAGCTTCACGAATCTTCCTCTTCATGCTGGTTTATCTTGAGCAGTTTCGTACGGGCATTTGTCTCTATTTGACATCATAGCGCTTTTTGTGTTGCAGGTGTTGGGCCTTGGACTCGCCACGGCTTCGTATCCTGACAGCGTGAGTACAACAGCCGTAGCCATGTTTCCAGTTGCGTCGCCTTGATTATTATTTTGTGTCAAAATTCTTCATGAACAGCTAAGTAATCATTCGCTTTGTGCATGATGCATAAATGCTATTGATTTAATCAACATAATTTGGGGGAAAGGGCGACGACACGCTCAGACTACCAAAGAGAAGCTATAGGCAAACAGATTCAGGTTCCTTATGAAACACAATTTTCTCTTCAGATTTTATCTAGAGGAAGGTAAACTATTGATTTAATGGGAGACTGATATTTACTTCTAAAATTGTTCTTGTTCATTGTACGATTGATGTATGATTCTGCTCGGTAATTATTAGCATAGTTTGATAAATCATGGAAATCCATAATTTTTCGTGCCAATTTATAACTATTTACGTTGATAATAAATTTATGATTTTGGGTACCTTGGAATGAAGCAAAAACGCTGTCCTCATTTTTTGTTAAATCTAACGACGAACATGGAGTGATCCTTCTGAAAGGTATAATTTGAACAAAACTGATATATTTATTAGGAAACACGTGAGTAACTGGCGACATCGAATCGGGTAATGAGAATTTTTCCCAATTAGATCAAAGCCCAGTCTTACAGCTCCTGGGTCAGCTCAGCTACTTTAAACTAGAACTGCTTGAACTCAGCCGTCTAGCTGCTTGCAGCGAGGAACTCAATTAGCAATAAAACCCACCCACAGCGGGGGAGTAACTCGCACACGTTCATCCGCAGGTCAACGTGGTTACAGGCCGCCCTGGCCCGCTGAGTTGTGGAGCAAAGACTTCCACTTCTGTCCGCTTCCGGTCCCTGACGATGCCGGGCAGCAAATCGCTGGTGGTGAGCCGTGTACCTGTTTACACATGCAGCATTAGGAGCAAGTGTAAACGAGCTCAGGTGAGCCGTGTACCTGTTTACACATGCAGCATTAGGAGCAACTGTAAACAAGCTCGACAGCATGCCACCATACTAATTTCAGTATGTCCTCATACTTTTATATATTTAATCTAAAAGAAGAGATTGCAATGTCGTGAACAGTAGATAAAAGTGTTTTTAATAGTTTGATGCTTTCTTGGCTGAAGTGGTGGAGGGATGAGTGATTCTGCAATTAACGGCCCATTCAGTATACATAGGGATTTGTATACGTCTCCTCATTATAAGCCAAGTTTACGTCTCCAATTTTGCTGGAGACTTTTGCTGAGAATGTTCGTTTATAAATACTATATGTAGCGGTGATGTTCATTTGCTTTCTTCTTGCAGACTTACCGACGCTTCTCGATCTCAAAACCCAAGTTGACCGCTGCCGTAAATGCGACTAAAAGGATGTCAGCAACGGATGTGGTGCAGTGCGCGAGGCAGGCCGCCTCGGCAGGTGAATATTGTGCTTCCATTGTGGTCTTGAAGAATTGTTTGAAATTAAAGTCCCTGTGCAACTTCGGGACTTCCGCAGAGGCCACATAGTTGCAACAATTCGTTCTTTGTTGAGTCGTAATCAAATGTACAATACGGTATAATGAACTTTGGCCAAATTATTACAGTGCCGGAAATGGCTATACGACCACCCAGTTTTCTGCAAATATTTTTTCTTGTACAAAAAATTATGGGATTCTAATTATACGAGGTTAAAATACGCTTAAAATCGGTTCCAACGTAATGCGAAAAAATAATTTTCTCAAAATATACAAGAAGAAATCATGAAAATTAGAAAAACGTAGGCGGAAATGGTTATAAGACCAGGATAGGTTTTTCACCATTTTGATATCTTTCTGTCATATTTTCACTTTAAAAAGTACAGCAATATAAAGAATATCTTGATTTTCGTCATTTAGGGTCTTTCTGGTATACTTCTGGTGTAGTTCAGTGCCCTCACTTATATTTTTTCGAAGTAAAAAATATACCAAATGGGACAAGACTCACTGAAGCCGAGAAGGCACAGATTTTCGGCTTTGTGAAATGCTGTAGAAGCCAACGGGACATCGCAATGGGAATAAAACGCTCAAAACTCATTGCACAATCATTTCTTTGTGCAACACCAAAGAAATGATCTTTCTTTGTGCAACACCAAAATTAACCAACAGGGATCTTAGGAGACTTGCGCTGCCTCTACTTCTATAAAATTGGCCACTGGAGGTGATGTGACAGCACGACGCATCCGTTAGACATTGCATGACTCGTAGAAATTCAAACACATGACGAGGAAAAATGCCCCTGTGCTCCAACAAAAGCATATTATCAACCGACAAAAATTTGCAGAAAAATATTTGCTTATTGGTAAAGGGATGAAACAAGATTATCTTCACTGATGTAAAAAGTTCAATCTTTATGGTCCAGATAGATGGCAATGCTATTGGCACCACTGGACCGGGAGCCTGAATTTTTTTTCCAAGCGGCAATCTTGTGGTGGTTCGGTCATGGTTTGGAGGGCGTTTAGCCGAAAGAGAAAATCAACTCTAGCTATTTTACATGGGAGACAAGATTCCGAGGCTTACAAGCACACGCTGTTTTACCAACTTCTCCTTTTTGCCGATGAGAAACATGAGGGATCATATGTTTTCCAACAAGACAATGCTTCGATTCACACCTCAAAATAGGCAAACATGTGGTTCCTAGAGCAGAATATTACCCTGTTGCCGTGGCCGGCGCTTAGTCCTGACCTCAACCCCATTGAAAACTTATGGGCATCATGGCGAGAGATGTTTACCAAAATGAGCGCCAGTTCCAATCTGAGAGTGACCTGAGCACGGCTATCCTTCGTTCTTGGGATTAAATTTCTCAAAAGACACTGGATTATACGGTAAATAGCGTGGGGGAAAAGATGTATTGCGGTAATTATGGCGAAAGGAGGTGATATATTGCCTATTAAAATGAGTGTATGTGATCCACAAACGGAAAAACATATCTTGGTTTTATAACCATTTCCACCAAGGTTTTTCTAATTTTCATAATTTCTTCTCATATATTTTGATAACATTATTTTTTTCGCATAGCGTTGGAACCGTTTTTAAACGTACTTTAACCTCGTGTAAATAAAATCTCATAATTTTCTGTGCAAGAAAAAATATTTGCAGAAAACTGGGTGGTGGCATAGCCATTTCCGGCACTGTATAAGCTTTAAAGTTGTGCTCATGAGTGCAGGACCTTCGAAAGACCCGGCTGGACCTAATCCTTTGAACTGTAAAGAGTTCTGTCTGCCAAGGTGCTTTTCAATGACAGCAGACGCTCACCATGCAGGAACGAACAGCTTACACTTTAGGGCATGAATTCCAAATTCTAATAACTAACCACTTTTTCAAAAATTGATAGCCGTGAATGCATGTTGGTGAAAAATAAATTTTTTTCAGACATGGCTGGGTTTTCTTTCAATGGAACCTGCACAGCCTACAAATTTGGCGAGAAACTTTGCTCCTGTTCGACAGCAGAACAAGTCATTTACGTGACCGACTCCAGCGTTTCCTACGGAACTCCCTCAAGTGTTCCTTTCAGTGAGACTCCATACATTAATATTGGCCTGTGATATCACTGTGAGATAAACAAATGAGTACAAAAACCTAAATTGAATATTGTTGTGTAATGAATAAGTGCGCATGTCCCTAGACGCTAATTGGTTGACCACGCCTGACTACGTAAACGTTCACACGTGTTCCTTCAAATCAGTCTTTGTTTATACCTTTTGCTAATGTCCTGACAGTTGGTGAATACGAGCATACGAGTATATTGTGCTTCAGTCGTGCATCTTGTGGACGCGCATCAGCACCATCGAGCATGCGCCCTTGTCGCGTGAACGTCCTGCTGTTTTAAAAAGCTCATTTACACTAGGGGCAACGACATGGGCGGTGAGGCGCTGGCTGCTGCTCCTCACCGCCCACTATCGTTCACACTTATTTTTGTACGCGGTAGCTCGAGACCGCGCGCTTTGAAGATTAGATGCCAGTTAATAAGACGTCAGTGGAGATGGATATAACCGAATTGGAGCTCTGGGCCCTTGATCTCGGGTGTGCTGCTGTTAACATTTACACAAACACGATTTACAAAATTACATTTTCAAAGAATTATCAGTTGCGAATGCATCTGACTTTCAAAATTATACTAGACTGCCAGTAGACTTGTTTGACAGTCTGCTAAAGAAAATTATGCCACTCATCCAGAAGCAGGATGATGTAATTGAGATGAAATTTACATGCAATGGAATTTATATGTAATGAAATTCATTTCACGTTGGAAAAGCGAACGCATCGTATGAATTTTCTTGCGAACCCCGTCAATGATTTTGACTTGTGCACAAAGATTTTTTAAAACTTCAACTATTTTCTCCAGAGCTTGTTTTTTTTTGTATTTCGACTTTTATACTCCTTTGACTGACCTCTCAACAGGCATTCATGCTCTCTGCAAAGATCAATTAGCCTCTCTACTAGCGAGCGAGTCCAAACAAGTGTGGCTCTAGTTGCCATAGTGAAGGACCAGCGTATACAGACAACCTCGCTAGACCACGGACAGCCGTCCACTGAGTGCGGCGCTTGTATTGCATGAGGCAGGGCGCCTGTGAATCGCTAGCTCGTCAATCGCTTCGTTGCCCACACGAAACACACGTAGAGGGGCGGCGAGGCGCTTGACGCCCGTGTGTTGCCTCTAGTGTGAACGGGCCTTAAGAGGCTGAGGTACAGCCGTCAGGCTGCGTCCAGTCCTATGAGGTTTATTCACTATTTTTTCTAACTAACTCCCGTCCTAAATATGATACAAGTCTCAAATTTAGAATGCTTTTCCAGCTATTTTTCTTCATTCCACGTAACTTAAGATAAAATTTGCAAATTTTGTCTATCACCTGTTATTAGGAAAGGGAAAATTTTGCACCTCGTTGTTCGTGAAGCGAGTGAATTTTCTACCATTTTCTTGATGTACATAGGTTTAACTAATTATTCTCTTTTGAGCGGTACACCATTTACTTATGAATCAGATTTCTGGAAGTAGATATAAGTCATTATACCAAAAAAATGTTGAAATTCAGTAGATTAACACACCACTTCTACTTCGAGTATCCTACATTGGAGCAGTCAAAGCATCCCCATGGTTTGTGAGGTAACCAAAAAACCTCATAAATTACTCGCCCGTGGCTGTCAAAAGCCCCATCAGCCTCTGTCCTCCCTCCCCGGACCGTGAGTGGCAATCGATCGGCCAGAGTATGTACGCGCCGGACGCCTGCTGGCTATTCACCGGCCACCTGAAAGCCTCCCTTACCTCAAGAACAGTATCCTTGAGAACTGTGGCGTGTCAAACACAAAAATGTCGTTGAAGTGATTACTGGACTAAAGCTTGGTGACGAACGAACCAACACGCAAGCTCAGAATTTACAGCGATCTGCTGGTCTCAGGGAATTCAGACTTCGCACGGCGATACCCCAGACTTTTAAAGGTGCCTGATTTAGCTGCCGCTTGATGCACCAACACCGTAGACGTTTGCTTCAGGAGGAAAGTAAAATGTTATCAGAAACCTTTTTAGGCCTGGTCGAGATTCGAGAGCAGCTTGATGTTTGTCAAGAGTGGCATGACGTTGATCAAGATAGACTTTCTGTTTGTCCAGTGCGACTTTGTGTTGCTCACGAGTTGGTTGGAACTTTATGTTGGTCTCGAGCGGCTTGCTGTTGGTCAAGCGCGGCTTGTTGACGGTCGCGAGCGGCTTGATGTTGGTCTCGAACGGCATTATGGAGAAGGTATTATAATGGCAATAAGAAGGAATGACATTGACATGAAGATTGCAGTGATATTGAATTATTAGGAAGTTTGTGCGAGTGGAGGACTAATTAGGATATTTTGGTGCACGTTCTGAACTGACGTGAATAATTTACAAAAGACTGGTAATTACAGTGGTATTGAATTATTAGAAAGTTTTGGAGAGTAGAGAACTAATCAATTTATTTTCGTGCATGTTCTCTGATGACGTGAATAATTGACAAAAGTTGGATGATGGCTTCCTCTTTCTGTACTGACGCGAGTGGGGATTCATACACGAATCCATAAAAATCTTACAACAACGAATAGTTTTAGACATGATGATACTCAAACCGTAAAGTGATATGGTACTTGGCGTACTTCATTAAACTGGAAATGTGATTGATCGCTTAAAACAGGTTTGACAGACCTCATATGTCCAAGCCCCCTAGCTTTGATTTGGCACAATGCGTGCGACTGAACGATCAGAAAATTGGCCAATTCTGAGGCGATTATCTAGTGCGGCTTATCTGGAGACGCGACAACTTGCGCGGCTAGAAGGCAAGCAGGACATTCGAGGATATGTAGGATGTTATGTATAGTCGTGTACTGGCCATGCTAACCGCATTTCTCGCTGGCAGCTTGCCTTTATTTATGAAATATTTAAAAAAGCGAACTTCAACAGGCGCTGCTCCCTACGTCAACGTCACTGTCGAGAACACCGAATTTAAGCAGTACAAGCTCGTGAATGTCTTCCTGGATGTCATTGAGAACCAAATTATAGAGCCAAATGACAGTAAGTTGTCACTAATTCGTGATGCAATTACCGTTTAACAAGTGGGACAAAATTCATCTAGCCTCTCCCTCACGACTCAAGCTAACCTTCTCTATCTGAATACTGGTCGCTGTTAAGAAACCTTATTTTTTCATTTTTTCTCATATTTGTTAGCATGATTCGTTACTCCACACTCGACACTCCTGTGATCACGTTGGCAGGGAACTAAAGCACACACTGGCCAAGGTTAAATTATTGAGTAAATTTTTTTCAAACGAATCTCAAGTTAGGCCACATGTCCGCGTATAATGGTGATGTCACGCCTAGGGTGCAGTGTCGACATAACACAATTTTCTTAATTCTTTACATCTTCGTGTGAGACACCAGTTTTTTAATTAAGTCGTCTTGCTTCTATTTAAAACTTTAATCAGAGTTTCATAAATGACCTTTCTATTTAACGCTTCAACAAACCATAATAAAATCATTATATGAAACAACGTTCTCGACACTAATAAGCTGTGATCGAAAGTGATTTTCCCGTATTATCATTTGATTACATAAGTATACATATCTAACACGTTGAGTCCGATTGCTTCATCTTGTACCATTATTTCATTTTATGTACTATTTTGAAACAGGGTTGCCAGACGGCCTCTTTTGCGGACAAATTCTGCTATCTAGTTTTTTTTTAATTGCGTTGGCCGTCTAAAATTTATGATAGGGGTACTTCCTAATTAATCTTTAAAACCTGCAAAAAAATAAATGGAATTTTTACACCAGGACCTACATACTAGTATATATTGAGTTATAGGGCTTCTAGGCCTTTTTTGTTCACGGACACTGCCTTTTTTAGGCCATCGGAAAGCCCAGAATTATGTACCACTACGTCCTGGAGAAATACAATTCGTGGTAAGTATATATGTACAACTTCAGAGTTAACGTGTTAAAAAAGACACTCTGAGCTTAATTGAAATAAAAAATATTAGTGCACAAAACTATTATCATCATCAGTTAAATCCTCGATCCCTATTATGATGAGTCCTTTATCTCTACTATGATGAGCCCTCGATCTCTATTGTGATGTGCCCTTTATCTCTACTATGATGATCTACTATGATGAGCCCAGTATGTGTAAATGTCGTCGCAAAATGTAGACGTTGATTAAAGTTTTTATACAAAATTTGTCGTTATTCGTTCTGTGTTTGTTTTGGATTTAAGACAATATACAATTGTGTTTGGTTAAAATTTTAGTATTTACTTTAATTTCCTTACCTGCAGTCCCCGGCTTTGGGGCTCAATTCCCTAAATTTGATCGTTAACTTGGTTTAATGAGAGTAATTGGTGTGATGTAATTGCACAACTGCCGCCCCTTCATGATCAACCGTAATGGAACAATTGCCGCTCATTCATGCGCTGCCGTAATGAGGCAATTGCCGCCCATTCATGCGCGCCCGCAATGGGGCAATTGCCGCCCATCCATGCGTGCCCGTAATGGGGCTATTGTCGCCCATTCATGCGCAATCGTAATGAGGCAGTTGTACATTATTTTAAATTACTTTACATCATTTTACATTATTTTAGGTCATAAGGCAGTTGTTGCTCATGAATGCACTGCCAATAAGAGTATAATTAACTCCCTCCTTCCGTGCCCTGGTATTCACCAGCACTTTCCTGATGCCCGCTTTTAAACAAATCAGGCGGCGCATTATTCACGTACTCATGTCTTACTCGCCACACGTTGTATTTAACCGAGTCGTACCCGACGAGTATTCTACTCATCTGGCACTTTTCTCTCAAGTTGCTTTAGGTCTCACATTAAAATCGTGACAGCAATAAATGCGTTCAATTCACACGCTTTTTTATCCCCTGCTCAAACATCCCAGATCAAGACACGTTGCCGACGAAGTATGGATTCATCCGTAACTACACGTCTATTTCGTGTAATGTTTGATCGTTGATCAATGGCAAATAATTGAATTAAATAAAGATTTAGGGACGGAATCAGAGCTGGCTGTCAATGCCTATGGGCCTGACGTAGCAGAAGAAGTGCAGAAATGTCAGCAGTGGAGACGAAATCTGTGCCTGCTTGGTGTCTGTTATGTACCTGCTTTAACCTGCAGCTCTCTGACTTTCCTGTAGTGCACAAAGGATAGTAAAATCCCTTTTGCTCGCGCAATGGCAGATTGGCTTGTGCAGCATTGAAGGTCAATGTCTAGCTGGTTAGCGCTCGCAAACGACCAGACAATGCGGTTCCAGTCGCATACATGCAAGGCATATGCGCGAGTGCAAAAAGCACCTCTGTGCTTTTGTTGTAGATGGTGTGGAACAAAGGGCGCATGGGTCCCGGTTTTAAACTTTTCGTGCTCCTCACACATACGCAGTATGCGCTCCCTCTTTCTCGAATCCTCTATATGTTACAGAGATTGCAACTATACAAGAGAAGGAGCAGCCCATATGTGTGTCGTGAGAGGAAAAACGTTAGCTGATTCTGGCTTGTGTTTGCGCAAGATCCTTTGAAGTATTTCGATTAAAGAAACCACTTGTGGCTGAAGTCACTGCGTTGGTGACGAGCAACATGGAAGTTATTGCCAAAAGACTTGCCGTGTTGTCTTTCTGGTTATTTGAATCGAATGGAGCGCACGCCAGTGTTGTGTAAATATATCTAGTGCCACACGAGTGCATTTGAATGCCACCTTTGAATGCCACTTCACCATGTCTCATAGTGTATGCACCTTGCGTATGTGTGTACATGCCATATCAGCCTGATAAGTTTAAACTCGCTTCTTCGAGTGAATGTGTATGTGTCTAGAGCTTGTTTTGTGTGCACACACTAGCATACTTAACACCACCTCGACTTAGGAGCGATTACCCGCCTGACTTGGCATATCAGTAAGCGAAGGAAAAAAAACCAACAAGGATTCCCTTAATAAAGGCGACTGAACATGGAAGAGCCCAGCGCAGAACCTCCCGGGCCTAACAGCCTGCCGCGGAATGTTGCGTTAACGCAACATTGGGGCGGTACATTCTAGATTCAGATTGGGGCGGTACATTCTAGCGCAGAACCTCCCGGGCCTAACAGCCTGCCGCGGAATGTTGCGTTAAGGGAGAGGTGGTTTTAAAACAACACAGCCACGCGATCGGTTAGTCTTGCCACGAGTGGCGTTCCCACAAAAGGAAGGATTGTGACGCCGTGGAGGGTGACTTCCCGCGTGACGATAGCGTGGTGAATCCGACTAATTAAAACACGTCGCGAAGGCTTCTGTTGGGTGTTGACGCGACGTGATTTATACCCAGTGCTCTGAATACAAAAGTGAAGAAATTCATCGAGGCGCGGGTTAACGGCGGGTGTAACAATTACTCCGTGTAACAATGACTCCTCGCCGCCCATGGCGATGTGTAAGCCTGGAGAGGTCGGTGCGACTTGGTTGGATACACTGGTATCCAACAGAGCTTATGTTTGACCTGTATATGGGTATCTAACAGAGCTTCTGTTTGACTTTCTGTACGATAGCTTCTGTTTGACCCCGGCAAATATCCGGAAAGTTGCCAAGTACGACACCCTCCAGGACCGGCAGGGCGATCTTGGCATCACCGGGGCGAGCGAGGTGTTCCTATCTTCGGCGACCTTGAGTTGGCGTGGATATTGGGCGATGGACTCGGCCAGGGCGCTTAAGGTCCTTGGTCTATCCAATGGAGACCAGTTAAGTCCATCCAGTCTATCCAGTCAAAGTCCTAACCTGGACTGAGGGCATGCACAGGGCCTGAACTCGTTCAGGTCGAAGGGGCCCACCTTAATCACCTTAATAGTTATGGATGTCTGCTACACTGGCAATTGCTGGCGCTGACCTAGTACAGTAACAAAGCTGAAGCGAGCACGCGGGCAGTGGCGGAACAACACTCTAGCAGGCACCGTAACTGATGGTTAGGGAGACCATCGGGGGATCCATCGGTCCGTGTGCCCTAACCACTGCTTTCGCGAGCATGCGCCGATCGTACGACCTGTGGACATAGGGACTTTTATGACCAAGCATTCGCGAGCATGACCCCTGAGATGTCTCCTTGCAAGGGATGCTTCCTATCTAGACCGTCATTCCTGGAGTAAGCATGCCTCCGTTGACCAATCAAGTGATAATGAGTATGCGCGCAGCGCATGAAATCAGTCTTGGGTGATTTGGCCGCGTAACCGAGCAGCTTTGTATCAGTCTCGGGGTTGGTCGAAGGTGCCCGTGCGTTGTCAGGTGCCATAGGGCAGTCTCATAGGCCACCTCCTATGGCAGTCTCCTAGGCCTCCTCCTATGCAACACTACGATCGGGGAAAAGTGCAGATATCCCCACGATCTAGGACGAAGGAATGGTGGTACTGTTGCTGGGCCAACAGGGTTTGATTAACATAATGGGAGACATCTTCTGACTGACTTCTGGACTGGCGGCCGTGGCGAGCTAAGGGGTCGTATCACTGTGACGTATGGATCCGGGGAGGCCTGATTTTAAGCTCCTTCCACCTCGATGTCCCCCTGGTCGTGGATAAAAAGTTATAAATAGGGGGAGGCAGTCGTTAGTTTGGGGACGACAGCGGGGTCAGCAACGGAGAGTGTGTCAGGTCCTCCGGGCCGCTGGTACACCCAAACAACGGTTGTCCACCCAACAGCTACATGATGACGAAAGTCTCAGCTCCATTTAACATTGTTCACCCATAAGGGGATGCCATTCAGAATAAGTCTGAGAGTCAAATGCCTCGTCATCTAATTATTGGCGGGCATGAATGGATTAATGAGATTGCCTCTGTCCCTTTCTACATTCTAGTTAGCCGGCAGGCAAAGGAGCCGGCTTGCAGGAACACAACGGGGAAAACAAACCTTGTTGACCTTGATTCTAGTCTGAATTTGTACGGCGACATCGCAGGTGTGGGCGTAAGTGGGAGGTAGCGCAAGTTGCATAAGTTGCAGCATAAGTAGGAGGTAGCGCATATCGCCGGTACGTAGGATAACACTACTCTCTTCGTCTCCGTACTCTACTCGGTTATCGGGAGATCAATGTGAATGCCCAATATAGACTGCGCACGCGCGTGCTACATGCACGTTACGTGTCGTGTGTCACACTATAAACTCGCCTGCCGAGGACAGATTCAGGTGGGGAGTTTGATTGGGGCGGTACTTCTGTCAAACAATTACGCAGGTGTTCCAAGGCCAGCTCAACGAGAACGGAAATCTTGCGTGGAGCACAAGGGCCTAGGCTGGCTTGATCCTGACACTCGGTAAGAGTATGGACAGTGAAAGCCAGGCCACACGAACCTTTTGTTGTTATAGTGAGTTTCCAGCAATAGACAGCAGAAAAGTTACCAAAGAAATAACTGGCTTGCGGTGGCCAAGCGTCCTTAGTGACGTCGCTTTTTAATCCTTCCATATCGGCACTTCCAACCGTTGAGTTGCAATTTGCCCATAAAGTTGGATTGTTCATCCTGAGCAGGAAACGTGAGCTGGGTTTAGACGCAGCCGGATCCAATTTGGGTCACTTGGGTCATGGGTGAACTTAAAGGGCCCCTGGGGAATGACCCTGTGGTCTTAATCAATTCCGCTATAGTGGAATTTATGCTCAAATTTCTTATATATTTGTGGATACTGAAATTTCCTCAGAATAATATCAGAGTAAGAGTGAATTTAGGGTTAGGCCAAAGCCAGAAGACTTTAAATTCACAGGAAAACGTGGAAAAATGTGCCTTAACGTTTATGCTGATAGTAAATTCAAAACATTTTGAAAAAATCGTTTGGTAGATCTCCGTCTGTCGCAGTTTTTTATAACCTCATAAGTGTAAAAAATATACCTCCATGATTTTCAACACAATCTAGGAGCCTTGCAATTAATACATTTCATTCGCATTGCTATTCATTGCAGAATGCAAAGTAGCTGCTGCTGCTGATTTAGTAGCTGTTCTCACACTTTGAAAATTCGCTTTTCGGCCCGGTTCCCATTTAGAGACCCTAACTCTTTCAAAATGCACCGGTCTGAACCCGGTTACCCATTTAAATTACCCTTTTAGACTGGGTTGTGTGACCCGATAGGCCCGCTTTTTGAAAATTTCCCATTTAAGTGACCTACAGTGGTTTACAAGTAACTGTTTTATCAACAATTTAATGTTTTACATGAAACATATCCCATAAATCTCGTGTTTGACGAAAATTTGAGGTTTACAACACCCATTAAATGGACAAAATATCGATGATAACTAGTGCAGCATGCACCTCTATTCGAGCCGTTTAAAAACTTCTTCTTCGTCGCCAGTTTGATATGCTGTTCGATTCGGTAAAATACTGTTTATGGGTGACACTGATCTGAACTGAACTGAACGAAATGGGTCACTGAAAACGACACTGATTGCGTTTTAAGGCCGTTTTTGTTAACCTTTATTAAATAAACCATTTCAAACGGATAAGCCTTACGGCCCGTTCACACTAGGGGCAACACACGAGAATCAAGTGCCTCAAAGCGCATGCAGAGGCGCTTTGCAGCCTCTGCATGCGCTTCTTGACCGATTGACGAGCTAGCGATTGACAGGGGCCATGCCTCATGAAACACAAGCGCGGCGCTTAGTAGATACATAGCTATTAAAGCTGTCTCTTATACACATCTAGATGTGTATAAGAGACAGACNCCTGGTTAACTTGCGATTCAAGGAAACAAGTGATTTTAATCTGGGCTCATGCATATACAATATCTGATATAGTCATATCTACCATGAAAGTTCGTCGGAGAGGTCCTAAACATGTGAATTCATTCATTTAAACCACGCTGTGATATTCTTCTCAAATGGTGTAATTATTTTATTTATATCTGAAATTTTCTCCAAAAGATGGGGTAAAGAGACCTTACTAGACCCTTAGTTCGCGCCAAATTGTGACCTCAAATCAGAAAAAATTGTCATAGCCAGCTCGTGTTGGTACTAAAATAACCGCAATAACATATTAGGAGTGCACGTCAATAAAAAATTGTACATTGTATTAGCATTTTGGACCTAGCTTTCCCCTTCCATCGTGAATGGGTAACATGTTGTAAGCACAAAGCTGATTTCCGAACGCTCTTACGTCAGCGCCAGCCAGACAACCAAACTTTAACCGTGCAGGGAATTGAACTTGGTATTCTTAACATTTTATTGATAACGAAGGCACTGGTGAATGATTGATTTGCAACTTGAATCAAAAGAAGGAATTTATGAAAGAACAAAATATGAACCCAAAATAAACCAAGCGGCGAGGGCACACACTGAATCTAATGTTCTAGGACCTAGGTAGTGAAGTAGTATGATTCAGTAAACAAAAATAATGAACCTAACAAGATGCGTCAATAATACTTGACTTTAGTTATTCCTAACAAAACTACAATTCACAAATATCACAACAAAAATTTAAATGTCACAATATAACAATTCACAAAAGGTTCACCAACAGTGAAGTGCAAAGTGCTTCACAACTGACAGAAAGAAAGTGACACGTATCGAATTATCGCGAACAGCAGGAGGTTTTTCCAAATGAAAATGCTGGTAAAACCACAAAGTTAAGACATTTTTGAAAACATTATTATAAATTTAACAGAACAAAAGTATATGAAATTACTGTTTGAATGTTCGCAAAAAATGGCACGGAAAATCGCGGTTCAAAATTCATTCAAAAAATTCAGTGGCTACAATGTGGCCACTTTTCTCTGCCCGGTGTGGCCGGGTTGACTACAACGGGCCATAAAGAAACACTTTGTTGGCCCGGTCTACGGCACGGTTTAGCTCGAACAGGCGCAGAAATGACCACATCGGTCTCGAGAGGTCGACCGGTACCGACCCGTTTCACTCGAAATTGTTTTTATCCTAAAGTTCGGCCCGCTCGACCCGCTTTAAACCGGGTCCGGCCCAGTCAAAAAGACAACATTTTACCTCCAAAAATCGTAAAAAGTTGTTCTGGTTTCATTCGACGGGTAATGATGTCTTCTTTAAAAATTACCGCACGGCATTTATTTGCAGACACTCACCTGACGATAAAACCTAATTTTGAGGTTTTTATCATTTTATGATTTGACATGCATTTTAAAAAGATTGGAAAAAAGAGAAATACTTTTTCGATGGCGAAAAACACGACTAGACACACGCCAAATCCATCAGTCGATGGATTTGGAACCTGCCGCAAAGGAATTTTCAAAGAAACCTCATTGCACGTTGAATAAAACTAGAATCGATTTTCAGCGATGAGAACTCACACCGACTCTTTATGTTTAAAAGTTGTCTTTTTAACTGGGCCGAACCCAATTTGAAGCGAGCCAACCGGGCCGAACGTTAAGGTAAAATACTTACCTGTTCGAGTGAACCGGGTCGGGCCCGGTCGATTTTCATCTACCCATATGGTCATTTTTACACCCGTTCGAGCTGAATCGGGACGTACATCGGGCCAACAAAGTAGTTCTTTATAACCTGTTGAACAAAGCAAGCGCCAGCTGAGTTAGCGAAGGTGATCTGACTCTGGTTGAGCAGAGTTTCATTCGCCCAGTGGTAGGTAGAATCCATCCAGTACCAAGCAAGGTAGTTTGACATCGCGAGTTAAATTCTCGGAGAAACACAATAAAATTTGTTCTTCAGCTACACTCGGGATGATAATTCATCTGTCTGTCATGCTCTAGGTTGAGTCTACCCGTAACATTTTTATTTGTAAGTCAAATCCGACGTCAAATTATGTCTGTTGATCATCAATTTCATCGCACCCTCGACGAG